GGACGCTTCCTGAAGGTACCCGGCCGGTGTGGCGCGGCGCTGGTATGGCGGGACGTCGGAGCGGTCTCCAAGAATGTGCATGAATGAATGAAGGTTATGGCAAGGTGACGCCATCGCCATCGAATCGCGCCGCGTCCGATAGCGCCGCGACGCCGCACCGCACAATAGATCGAATCGATAGAAGACGTCGGACAAAATTTGGAAATTTTAAACGCTTAAAACTTCGTTTTTACAAACTTTTGAGGTTCTAAGAGTGGTTCCATTGGTTTCCTCGTGAAATTTTCTTCTTGAAGCACTCCTTGAAATGTAAAATGTGACGAAATAAACATCAAAATTTGCAGGTTTAGTCAAATTTTTCATGTCCGACCTTTCTAATTGACTCGATCCACTGTGCGCCGCTCCACACCGCGGCCCTACTTGCACCGTCCGTCCGCATACCACTCCACATCCACAACCGTCCTCATAGGATCTACGATGCTCAGGCCGCGTTCGAATTTTCGAGTGAGCTTTCCGCAGGAGTTCCAGTCACTTATAAAAATTTCGTGAAACATTATAGGATCTTTTTAAATTTGCAGGGAATTTTTTTAACATTTTATAGGCATCGGAGATTAAACGCTTCTTACTTGTCGATCAACTACGGTCAACAGGGTTACCACAGGATTTGGAAAATTAAATGAAGATGTTCCATGTGTGAGGGATATGCGATTTCACCATTGATTCTGATGTAAAAGTTCGCAAGAAACACGATGATGCCACTGGTTTTCTCTGAAATCATCTCCCAGGCTCAAAAAAAGCTCTCAAGGTGAGGCCAAAATGCAGGGGATATCCCGCCCTACCCTAAGAGTCCACCTCTACATCAAAACAAACTCACCATGCAAAGTAGGGAGCAAATACGTTGACAGCCACTTTATTTGGGGACTCCAAAACTGAAAACACGGCATCACTGCTAATATATTTGCTCCCTATCTTTGCATGGAGAGTTTGTCTTGACGTAGAGGTGGACTCTCAGGGTAGGGCAGGATATCCCCTCCATTTTGGCCTCACTTTGAGAGCTTTTTGGGAGCTTGGGAATTGATTTCAGAGAAAACCAATGGCACCATCGTGTTTCACGCGAACTTTTACATAAAAAACAACAGTCAAATCGCAAATTCCTCACACATGCAACATCTCCATTTGCTGGATCCGCCAGTGCCCCCGATAACACGAGTTTTGGATCTAAAGCTGCTGCTTCAGTAGTTGGCAATGGTTTCGGATTGGGCAACTGGCAAAGCTCCGAGTCCTGGGGCTAGAGTCATTACGGAAATGAGAAGATACAGTTTCAAGGAATACGACGGTGCTATTTGTCGATGAATCCTCCGTGGGCGCCGCCGCACAGTGGATCGGGTCAAAGAGAGAGGTCGGACATGATTTTATTGACTAAAACTGCAAATTTTGATGTTTGATTCGTCACATTTTAGACTTCAAGGGGTGCTTCTACAAGAAAATTTCTCGAGGAAACCAATGGAGCCACTTTTAGAACCTCAAAGTTTTGTATAAATGGAGTTATAGGCGTTTAAAGCTTCCGAGTTTTGTCCGACTTCTCCAATTGACTCGTTCCACTGTGCGCCGTGGCGTCCGTCGTCAGCGTCGCGGTCCCGCGTGCCTATGCGTGGGCGCGTAACCTTCATTTTCACAGAATCCATGGCGCGATACACCTCAAATGGACGTATTTAAATACAAAAGGAACTATATCTATTCTGACATGAGCCCTGAGACATATTAGGATACGTGCATGATAGGGCTCTATTCAAAATGGATATAGTTTCTTTTGATTGAGATACTTCCGAATGACGCATACCTCAGCTTAAAATCTCAAGAGAGAGCAACATAATCATGAGCAGCTTTTAGCAAAAACTGGGTGTCTAGTTTTCTTTTTCATTTTGGGAAATCCTGATTTTTCCTGATTTTTTACAGCAAAATCCTGATTTCATGATTTTTCCAAATTTACTGACACGAAAAAAGCAAAACAAAGAAACACAGAATATAACACTGAGAACGGAAATTTTTAACTGCGTGTAAAAGCGAGTAAGTTGTTTCTATTGAATGCTTGTAATTTTTTCCGAATTTTTTTATTTTTGACGTCGAAATTGTGTCGCCCCTGAGAAGTAAAATTTTCCCTTTTTCCCCTCAGAAACATTTTCTTCACGCGGAAATTTTAGCGCCAAGTCCCCATAAATTGAAAAAAATGCGATCATCTAATTGGCTGAAGGAAAAACTGTTGAGTTTCCGTAGCAAAGACCGTGACTTTTCAAGTTTTCCCTGAATTTTCAAGAGCTTGTCGCCCTGAAGATATCATCTCAGAGACAAACAACAAGACACGATTTTGCATGTGGCACGCGCAACGGATCCGCAGAAAAAAGTTGCGAAGGGCGGATTTCTCCGTCCTTTATTGCGATGTATCGATTGTTATGCCACTTAAACCTATGGTAAAGAATCGATCATTAAGGCGTTCGCTGCGAACACCCTGTTTATCGCTCCTTTTCCATAAGTTTAAACGGCATAACAATCGATATATCGCAATTCACGCCACGCCACTGATCTTGTCCACTCAGTCCCTTGTCTCATTTTTCTCTGGAGGTTTCCCGTGCAGCATTAACGTCGCGTCGTTTAGATCGTTACTGCAATCCCGGCCAATTAAATCGGACTTAATTAAGCGCCAATCAGAATGCGTGATCATTGTGTTGGCCGCCGCGCGCCGTTGGTGCCGCTCGACCTCTGATTAGCCTGTTAATTTTTTTTACTTCCCGATGACTCACCTGTCATATCCTCTCTTTTCTTCTCTTCCCTCTCCGTACCTCTCTTCCGCTCTCATCCTACCGTATTGGTCTGCTTCCCTTGCTACTTGTCACGCATGCCGAATTGTCATCAATTTCACTTCCCGAGGAAGTCAGGGAGGGGAGGGGCAGGAGCACGGACTGTTAAGTTAGGAAGTTTGATGGTTTTGGAGTCATGCAGGATAGTGAAAAAGTATGTTACATTAACATATTGTTTCATAAAATCAATGACATTGCGTTAAAATTGTACGTCTATCAGTGTTCGAAACTCGCCTTTGAGTTTTAGGAGCCATGTGGCGCATCAAGCCCGATTTTTAGGCGCCATTGAAAAAAAATACAAAATTTAATGGCAAAATTTGTTGTTCGAAACGTTAGACCCATTCTAGAAAGCAAATAAAGGTGACTAGGTAAACAATTTATCCCTGACATTTCCTAGTTTTCCCTGATTTATCAAAATTCCCTAACATTTCCCGGTTTTTCCTGACTTATCAAGATTCCCTGACTTATTAAAATCCCCTGACATTTCTCGGTTTTTCCTGTCTTATCAAAATTTCCTGATATTTCCCAGTTTTTCCTGACTTAATAAAATGGACCACTAGACAAGGCACGAATTTCAGCATTCTGATACTTGTTCCTTAACCAAAATTTTACGTAAAACACGATGCGCACAACAAAAATTACCGATATTAACTCCTTACGAAGATATTTAATGATTCTTGATGCGTGAATTCAAACCATTCGCTCATGGAAACTCAATGCTCTACGTGAGTCACATCGCGCACTGAATGTTATCATGACAGTCTCTGCGATATAAAAATCTGGCAACCTCGATCTTGACGCTTTGGCTCAGCTATAGCAAATTGCTTATAGTTTGAACAATACATGGTGGGAAATGAATATTGCTCGATTAAGAAGCTTGCTGAAATCGTTGTAGTGCGCGATTTGACTCACG